AATTATTAGTGTCTTTCCATTTTCCAGTCAGTGGTAATGCTTCTCGTCCACACTCCTGGTCCCTCTACCTTTTGGGAACAATGAGTATCTGTCATTTGGATCATTTGGAAAGTATCTGGCTTTCTTCATTGAAGATATCTATTTATTTACACCCGTTTCTAAAATTTAGTTACGATTAGGTTTAATGAAATATTAAAAGAAAATCTCAGTCAAGGGGAGAGGAAGAAAGAACCTGCTCCCCCAAATGGTCTTTACCGTTACTGTGCCTGGAGCCCTGGTGATGTAGTGGTTTGAGCGTTTGGCTGCTAACCAAAAGGTCAGCAGTTCAAACCCACCAGCCGCTCCTTGGAAACCCTATGGGGCAGTTCTACTCTGTCCTATAGGGTCACTATGAGTTTCAATTGACTCAACGGCAACGGTTTTTGTTTTGTCAAACAGGTGCCTGAATCACCCGTTTGGCTCTGGGTTTTCAGACTAAGCCAAACAGAAATGTAAGGTACATAGTCCTAGCTGGCAGAAAGGTGAAACCATGCTGATTCGTTCCTGGAAGGAGGTAAGTTTTGCCAAGCATTGAACTCCAAAATAAATTTGCTAAGTTAGCGCTTAGAGAAGGGATGCTCGTCAATCAAATGGAGAATGTCCTCAAGAAGGCGCAATTTTCATGTTAGCATTTCTTGAAATGACTCTCCCGTGTTTAGCGCTGGGCTCTTATCAAGGCCATGCAATGCAAATGACTCAGAGTGATCTTAAGCTCTGAAATGTAAGAAAATGGGGGGAGGTGGGGGCTGAGCCTGCAGGTTCTCAGCAAGCAAATAGTGGACTTAACCACAAAGAGCTCTTAGCCCTCTCCTGCAGAAGCTCAAGGAATACAGAAGCAAGACAATTTCCATTGTGAGGGATTCTACAATGAATACCTTATACTCTGTGGTAGGGACAGAATGGAATGAAGAAGGTATATAACACCCAAAGCTACAGTCTACCTCCTGTGTCTAAAAATAGGTTTTCTGAGGAACTACTAATTAAAATTAATACCAAGTACTATTAGTGAACATTTGATAAGGTGCTGTGTGCACTGTACTAAGTGCTATACATGCACAATTTTATTTAACTCTTATAACTATTTGATGTAAGAACTAATATTATCCCCACTTTGTGGTGGTTGTTGTTAGCCGCTGTGGGGTCAGCCCCTGACTCACGGCAACCCCATGCACAATGGAACAAAATACTGCTCAGTCCTGCACCATCCCCATGATCAGTTGGGGATTGGATGGTTGTGATCTATAGGGTTTTCACTGGCTAATTTTCAGGAGCAGATCACCAGGCCTCTCTTCCTAGTCCATCTTAGTCCGGAAGCTCCCCGGAAACCTGTTCAGCATCACAAACACGAAATCTCCCACTGATAGATAGGTGGCGGCTGTGCGTGAGGTGCATTGGCCAGGATCGAACTTGGTCTCCCGCATGGAAGGCAAGGACTCTGCTACTGAACTACCACTGCTCGGGCCCCCATTTTACAGCTGAGGAAATAGGAGCATGGAGAGATTGAGTAGGTTGCCCAAGGCTACCCAGCTAGTGTGTGAAGAGATGGGGACTCCAACCCAACTCAATGCATCTTACATGATTTACCGCCTCACAGGTCTAATGTGGTCAGAATTCCCAGAAAGCCAGGTTTGCAAACTCTGCATCACACAATCTAAGTAGCAGAGTTGCAAATGAAACAGGTAGAATTCCGGCCATGTATCAATTTGGGGGCCTTCTAACCAAACGTGACACAGAAAAGGACTCTATTTTTGCCCCTCCACTTTCCAGTTCTCTGGGACCGGACGCTCTTTCATATTCCTCCGTAACATTAATTACTTAAATCCACTCGTCTGTGTCAGCTCACTGTCAGACAAGTTGCAAGGGATCCTGCACGGGGAATACCTGTTCTTTAACCTGTTGGTGGCACGTTGCAGGTTGCAGGCAGTCATATGTTTCAGGCTAAGATCTCATGTGCAACTGTATCTTTCCCGAAGAGATTAAAAATGACTTTACGTCATGTTCTCATTAATCTGTGTAAATGTAAATGAAATGTTTTTGATGGGGTGACAGGAAACTAATTTCAGCACAGCCTGCTTTGAATCCGTATTTTTAAGCATGAAGAGCCAGTCACCAGATTTAAAATCCATTTACCAAACACAAAAAAGCCTTCTTTTCTGCACTCAGAGAATAATTTTATATTAAACACAGATGGTCATGCTCCCGAGGGAGCTGAACTAATACATTTATAATCTAGATGCTAATTTTTTTTTTTGTTCATTAGGTAATTCATTTTTAGAAAATTTGGAAGATTTACAGATAAAAGACAATCGCTTCTTTAACAAAAAACTGAAATGATCATATCTAGAAACAGGATTATTCTCATAGCCTCTACCTATTTCAGGCTAGAAAGGGTTAGTCTCCTGCTGGAATAGACTGCTGGAAGGTCAAAGATATTTCTGTGAATTAGTTTCTGAAGGACTCTAGCATCAGTGGAGGCTTTTGGTTGGTAGGTGTTGGGAAAGTGGGAAAACAGTTTATTGACTACTTCTGACCCCCGCCTGGATCACCCAATCAGAAGCCTTGGACCTGGAACATTCCCTAATAATGTAGGCTGGGAATTGAGCCTCTCTCTGTCCCAGTTACTTCTTTCTTCTCGGGAAAACTCCCTCCCTGTTCTGGATACACTTTCCTTTTTCTGCTTAAGCCGGAGCGTCATGTGGCACCTGGTCAATTCCAATGGTGCATCTGTTCCCAGCACGAAGCGAACAGGGGCGCGTGCAGACCATCAACCTTGTGTCGGCTATGGAGTGAGACCCACTGGCCTTGGGGGACCGACACCTACTATTGTAATTGACCTGGCTCTGTCTCTTCTCTATGTGAGTAAAGTGTTGTTCCAACCAGTGCCTGTGTGAGTTGTGTCTCTCTTTGCAACCTTGGACCTTGGCTCGACAGTTTAGTTCAGAGAGCAGGGTTGACAGTAGGTTTCTATCTGCCAGCACAACCATCACAGCCCAACTTATGGGTTCTTCGTCCAAGGTCAGTCAAGTAAATAAAAACTTTTAAAATCATCTTTATGGGGGTAATATATCCTGAGTATTAATTTTTTCCAAAAGTAATGAAGAAATCAGGGCATAAAATTGACTCTCTGGCTAACTGAGCAGAAATCTTACACTTTAGTTCTATCCTCCCACTTATAGATGGAAACTTGTGGCCCAGAGAGGCCACAAGTCCTGTCTAAAAACACCCAGCTCATCAATTACAGAGTTGAGGAGATGCCTGTAGTCAAGTCTCCCAGCTCCCAGCTCACTGCTTTCCTCCCATGCACTCTTCTAGAATAATAAAAGCTACCTTTTGTTGTTGCTTTCTAAGAGCTTCATTCATGATCACCTTTCTTCCTTGCAAAAACGTTAGAAGCTTGGCATTATTATCCTTGTTTCAGATGGGGAAACTGCCCAAGGCCACACAGCTAGAGAGGGGTAGAGCAAGGATTCCACCCACACCCTCTGGCTCCTGGCTCTTGTCCCTGACAGTGTGCAACACTGTCTTCTTGAAACACCATTTAGTCTGACAAAGATGCCAAATTCAAGGATGTAATGAGGAAGGAGGCAGTTAACGTGTTCTTCAATTGCTGAGTGGGAGCGTTGAGTTACCTCTTCCACTGAGCTTCCCAAGGTGAGTCTTTGTCAGTCCCAGCTGCACCTGTATTATTCCACTACTCTTCTTTCCTCAGGTCCAGCTTGAAGCTCACAGTCATGGTTACCCAAACTCTGTGAACCACCTGCATTTTCATTCCTTGAGGAAGTTCTTCCTTTGGGAGTTCCTTGAGATGATTTTTAATGGTAATATTCGAAAAACTTTGAATTTAATGAATACGTAGTATGGTTAAAATAAATGACCAATAGGCTGGCCTTGACTCAAGCATCAAATGCACACCATTAGCGAATGAGCTCTATGTCTGAACAGAACATCTGTCATGTTTCAGAAATATCTGTGCACATTTGTCTTGGGCCATGGATGATGTTTATTTTTGTATGGTTGCTAATGTTTACGCTTATTACTCCTTTTGTTATCCATTTCCGGCCCTTCTTCAATCTCTTCTCTCTTCAAACTTCTATTTTTCAGTTGTGTTTTTTGGCTATTTGACTCTAGGACAGTGGGATAAGAGTACTTTGACTTTGCAAACAACAGCATGTCAAGAGAGCAAGAAAACAATCACGGAGCTCTACTTCCTCAGGCAAGAAACAGCTGGAAATTCTTTCCACTTGTTGGAACTGGTGTAAGGGTACTTATTTTGACTTGACATTTTGGGATTACAATTTATAGAGACAACTTAGAAATTTGTCTTGAAAGATTATGGAAAGTGAATCTATCTTACCCTGGCTCACGGTAATTTATATGCCCAAGAAAAATAATTCTGACCTGGAAGAGAATCAGTATGTGGGAGGTGAGAATAAGGGTCATCCTTGCTGAAAACCCCAAGATAAAACCCAAAAGCAAGTAAGTCATTAAAAGCAAGGGTCATAGAACTGGTTGGGTATGCATCCTTGCTCTTCTGTGACCTTCGGCAAGTTACTCAACCCCTCAATGCCTCAGTTTCCTCACCCTTAACCTGGGGATGATCATGGTACCTGCATCATAGGGTTATTGTGAGGATGAAATGCACTAACACAAGTAAACTGTTTAGAGATGAGCCTGGTGTACGGTAGCCCTTAGTACATGTTACTGTTGTTGACACCACCCTTAGCAGTCTCACAGCACTGAATGGCAAACATGGCTCTTCAGTTCTGTGGGTCTTTTGGTAATTCTGGACTTGGACTCTCCCTGAGTATGCATGCGGAATCCAGAACTTACGTAGACTCCCATGCCTGGCCCACGTTCAATGCTGCGTGGTCCACCCATTGACCAACACCCATGCTCTGTAGCTCCCCATGGATCAGGCTTATGTTCACCCATCCTGAGTTTGAAGTGTCCCCAAAGAATACCTTGCCTCCGCCGGCTGTTGAGTTTCCTGAAGCAGGTCCCTTCCACAAGTCGGTTCAGTCGTTGCTGTTTGATCAGCTCTAAGATTTCTGGCTGAATCTTCTCCTTTAGTTCCCTGTTAAAGGATAAGCACATAGTCCACAGCATCCTTGAGAAACAGTGCTTGGTTGAATGGGGATCATGAGCAGATGGGGCAGGGAAGTGTCAGCTGAATCTTTTCATGAACATCCCAATACCTTCAACAATGGTGCTTTAGAGAATAATTTATTAAGCCTAATCGGTCAGGGTTATCTGTTATAATAACACGATAGATTCTCTGACATTTACAGAACATTCACAAAAGCACCAGCCACTTCAGTGATGTTTGTTCAGACCTAGGCATCCTGAAAAATTTCTTCTCCTATTTTACAAAGCCACAGATACAAATTTATGCAGATATTCACTCAGCTTGACCCAGACAATAAATCCCTGGCCACAGTCCCCTCCCCAGCAGAATGCTGTTTTCCTGCATCAGGTAAACTCCTGGACAATATATGTGATCTGACCAAACAGGAATATTGGACAATTCCTAATCCACAGCAAACACTAACTTGGATAAACCCCAGGACCATATTTGCTTTTAATTCCATCACTCACAAATGGGAACAACCACACTGTCCCAGATTCTAGCCCACAGAGACTGGGATAATGATGGGATAAATTGACAATTATCTGCACCTTGTCTCAGGCTAACATAATGTAATTTAGTTTAGATGTACTATGCTGCAAAGGTATCATAATATAGTGCGATGGTTTTCAAATCTTTTTTTTTAGAGCAGAGATATTTATCATACGAAATTTTACATAGCACCCTAGCACTGAAATCTAATGGTGCCAGAGTTGCTCTAGTAAAAGCAGGGCAGGGAGACCCAGCACCCAGCCCTCCGAGCAGCGTAGGAAGTGCTGGCCAGAACACAGATCTGTAAGTCAGAAGGCTGGAGTTTTGGTCTAGGCTCTGCCAATGACTAGGCATGTCATGTAGCTCATTTAAGTCTCAGTTCTCTCATCTGTAAAATGGAGATAAGAACCTTTCCTGGGCAACTGCTGTGACTCCCAAAGGAGACAGTGTGAGTGCAGGTGTTCTAGAAGCATTGGACAGGAATACAAGGTATTACTGAATTTACGTTGATAGCACTGTCTCCTTTCTTCAAGCCGAACACTCTATGTGCTCATGTTATACTGCAGTCAAGGCCCACGTATTCATCAGCTTCAGTCTAACCTCTTGCTCTGACACCAGACTGCAGACACCTGCTGTCACATAGGTATCCATTCTCAGGTGGGGAAGGTACTAACACCTGGTAAGGATCTTCTATGAGCCAGGTACTGTACTATGCACTTTTTAGCTCACTTAACATCCCCTCCCCCTGCAAAAATCAACTTTTGTGGATAGGTATTAATATCATCATCTCCAACTTACAGATGGCAAAACAGCTCACAGAGGTTAAGCATAGAGCAAAGGTGCCAGCTGCTTCCATATGCACATAAGAACAAAGGATGAAAAGCTTACACAAAGGGATCTGGCCATCTGACAGTGTGTTCTAGTACTCCATTAATACAATTCTTGGACTTAAATGGCCTCAAACCTTCTGTCATTTGATACTGTTCCAACTGAACATTTATAAAGCATAATACAGAAATTCGGCTGTAATAATAGAGCTTGGTACATTTGTCAAGCCTTTTCTGGGCAGGTCTCCTAGGGTTTCATCGCAGGCTTTCAGATCACTAAAACTATTTATTATCAGCATTCAGCTTTTGTAAAATGGACTCACGAAATTGCAGCTTTGATGAACCCTGCTCTGAATGGAGAAGAAGGTGGGAAATCACTGGTGCAGTCGCACAAGGCAATAAATTAGGGCCCCTGACGTCCAAGACAGGATGGCAGCGAGGAGAGGAAGGGAAGGCACCAGAGGACAGAGAAATCTCGGAGGAAAGAGTTTTGGAATTTCATCAATTCTTTGACTATAGATGTATCTTTAAAAAATAGTTTTGTTTGGCTAGGGGTGAGCTATTAGAATGGAGAGGAAAATGCAGAGATAAAGATCGTAGAGGGGGAAATAACTAAATACTTCTGAGTAATTTCAATTGATGCATTATGACTTTTTAGTGTAAATCTGGGTGAGACTCAGACAGGCTCAGTCACAGCACACTCTGTTGTAGAACTGACTTCTGGGATGGACTATCAGAATAAGTGACTCTGTGCCTGCATGATTTACCTGTTTTTGAAAGACCAGACTTACTGGTCTGACAGAGACTGGAGAAATCCCAACAGCATGGCCCCTGGACACCCTTTTAACTCAGTACTGAGGTCACTCCTGAGGTTCACCCTTCAGTCAAAGATTAGACAGGCCTATAAAACAAACAATAACACACGTAGCTCAACCATGAAGACGAGACTAAATGGGCACACCAGCCCAGGGGCAAGGACGAGAAGGCAGGAGGTTACAGGAAAGCTGGATGAATGGAAATGGGGAACCTAAGGTCGAGAAGGGGATAGTGTTGACACGTTGCAGGGTTGGCAACCAATGTCACAAAACAATATGTATATTGTTTAATGAGAAACTAATTTGCTCTCTAAACCTTCATCTAACAACAAGTCGATTCTGACTCATAGCAACCCTATAGGACAGAGTAGAACTGCCCCATGGGGTTTCCAAGGAGTGGCTGGTGGATTCCAACTGCAGATTTTTGGGTTAGCAGCTGAGCTCTTAACCACTGATGGGATAATTAAAAAAAGAGAGAGAGAGAGAGAGAAAGAAAGGAGTTCAGTTGTAAGCTCTGCTGCTTACTAGTTTTGAATTTTGAGCTAGTTTTCCTCTCTCTGTACCTAGGTTTTTCCATAAGTGTTTTTTTTTTTTTTAAATCAGAATTATATGTGGGCAATATCTTCCTCATGTATTTGGTATAACTTTATATGCCAGAGTAAATGTGACTATGCTTGGTGATAATAGTGGTAAATACTTTTGTTTTACATTTTTTTAAATAAATGCATTGCATTTACTAAAATAAAAAAAAAAAGTTTACCCTTTTTTGGTTATAAACCTCAAAGGACTCCAAAATATGACTGGGAAATGAGAGCAATGGGACACTGTCCTTTTTCTAAACAATTTCGTCTTCTTTCCCTGTGAATGAACTCAGTACCTCTAAAATTCACTCATATTATGAAAGATAATTAATCCACACACTGTGTTTCTGTGGATGAGATGTGATCTCTAGGGTAATCCAAGTGATAGCACCAGGAGCTGTAACTGGGTGCTGAAATGCTCAGCCTGGGGTCAAGGAGGCCAATGTCGTGGGTTCACTAGCTTTGCTTTGATAAATATTCCTCTAATCCTCTCCAGAAGCCTTGTAAATAAAACAAGAAAGGAAAATAAAGGAGGTGGCAGGGAGGTCAAAAACCATGTGAAGAGCAATCCAAAGGCTAGCACTGTTTCTGGAAAGCAATTCCCAGTCTAGGCCCAGTGAGGCCACTGCCACACATGGCAGACAGACAGTACCACTAGGCCAATGAGGCTCCTTTCTCAACCTAGGATCTGCTCTCCTGAGTGACTACTCAGTATTCATTGAATACAGGGGCTGCAAACTTTTTCTGTAAAGCGCCAGGTAGTAAATATCTTAGGCTTCGTGGGTCATAGAGTATCTGTTGCAACTACTCAACTTGGTCATTGTGGCGTGAAAGCATCCATATGCAGGCCATAAACAAATAAGCGTGGTTGTGTTCCAATAAAACTTTATTTACAAAAATAGGTGGTGGGCCGTATTTGGCTAACAGGCCATAGTTTTCCAACCCCTGATCTAGAAGCAGGTAATGGAGACTTCAGGCTGAGCAACAGTGTAAGTTTCATGGAAATTGATGTTTCTGTCTCAACACTGGAGGGTCTCAGGATTCAGTCCTTGATTTTCTTCTGTTCTTAATAATATAGGCTTGTGACTTTAAATAACAACTTTATACTGACAACTCCCAAATTTATACTGCCATTCTAGACTTCTCTGCTGAATTCAGACTCATCTGTCCAACTGATTGCTAGGCCTCTGCACTTGGATGTCTCTTAGATATCTCCAACCTGGTATACCCAAAGCTGAACTTCTGATCTCCTTGTCCAAATCTGCTTCTCTCAATCTTCCCCATCTCAACTCCATTCTTTAGTTGTTCAGGCCAAAATCCTTGAGCTCATCCTTGACATCTCTCTTTCTCTTACACACTATATCTAATCAATCAGAGAAAACCATTGTCTCTAATCTTCAAAATATAGCTAACGTATATTAGAGAATCTAATCACTTCTCTCCACCTTTTGCCTGGATTATTAAAATAGTCTCCTAACTGGTCTCTCTGATTTCAAATATGACCCTGAAGAGTCTAGTCCCAGTATCCTAGCCAGAGGGATCATTTACAAACCTACGTCAGATAACACCACTCCTCTGCTCAAACCTCCAATAACTCCCCACTGACTAAAGTGCTTACAATGGCCAACAAAACCCTATGTAATCAGGTTTCTGGTCACTTTTCTAGCCCTGCCACCTATTGCTCTATCCCACCCTTATTCTGCTCCAGCCACACTGGCCTCCTTGGTAGTCCCTGCACACCCACACCCGTGTCTATCTCAGGGCGTTTGATTCTCTCTGCCTGGAATGTTTTTCACCCAAAGACCCACAGAGCCTGCTCCCTGAATCTCTCACGCATCTTTGCTCAAATGTCACCACTCTAATTAGAGAGATCTAGTCTGACCACTCTATTTAAAACTGAAAACCCTCCATTTCCCATACACTGATTTTTTTTTAGTTATTTACCATGTTAATTGTCCGTTTCTCCCCAATATAACCACCATGAAGGTGAAGATTGTGTCTGTTCTCATCACCGCTGGACTGCCAACACATAAAACAGTGCCAGGTACATGGCAGGCATCTGAAAAGCATTTGTCAAATGCTCTGAACACTGAAGGTGGTTTAACTGACAAGACTGTCTCACTGGCTTTGGTTATGAAGAAGCTTCCAGCAAAGCTTGTGGCCAGTCTTTAGCAAGGGTGCAGATTTGCAGAGTGGCATCACCCTTATTTCTGGCTCTATTTGTTTTTGCTTTTTCTTTCTCACCTACTTTTTCTGTACTTGTAACACAAGGTGAGGCATATACAAATACATTTGCAGTGTCAATTTTACCATTTACATATTAAGAGTATCACAACTTATTAAATTCTGATTATCCCCTAATAATAAACCCATTGCCATTGAGTTGATTCTGACTCATAGCGACACTATAGGACAGAGTAGAACTGCCCCATGAGGTTTCCAAGGCTATAAATTTATATGGAAGCAGACTCCCACATCTTTCTCCTGCAGAGTGGCTGGCGGGTTCGAACCATCACCCTTTCGGTTAGCAGCTGAGCACTTAACCACAGCGCCACCAGGGCTTCCTCAGCTAATAATAAGAGTGGCCATTTCCTTGAGTGGATATTATGGGTCAGGCATGTACTATTTGTTTTTCATGCACTACTTCATCGAATCCTCATAACAACCCAATGAGATAGACCTTTTTATCATCTCTCTTTTTAGTGATGAGAAAAAACAAGGCTTAGAGTGGGTTAAGTAAATTGCCTAAAGAACCAGTTATAAGTGGTGGAGTTGGACTCTGATCCCAGTGTAGGAGTTTAGGTTTTACACATTTTACTATTCTGCTTCACTAGAATTTGTCCTTGCAGTCCCCTTCTCTCCCCAAGATAGTATTAAATGGCCTATTTTTAGACTATTCAAGCTTTTTTATATCCATTGATTTGGATAATTGTGAGAATGGACTTATCTTAAGTCACACAAAGGAGAAAATAACAAATACCTACTCTTTGAAATAATTAATCAAGGGCTAAGAAGCAAAATAGAGTTTATTCAACCTACGGCATATGTGTTGTTAGTTGCCGTCAAGCCAATTCCGACTCATGGTGACCCCATGTGTGCTGAGCAGAGCTACTCCAGAAGGTTTTCAAGCCTGTGACATTTTGGAAGCAGACTGCCAGGCCTGTCCTCCGAGGCGCCTCTGGGTGGGTTCGAACTGCCAACCTTTTGGCTAGTAGTTGAGCGCTTAACCGTTTGCACCACCCAGGGACTCCAACTGCATGTGTAGTCCCCCTAAATAATATTTGCTCACTCTGAGTTGACATTTTCTTCCTAAGAAATATAACATTTAATAAGAATGCAGTGTGTGCCTCAGGGGTCTGTGAGGGGCTGGCCTGCCACCATGCTGTATTCCGCATATACAGAGGAGCTGGGAGAGTTAGGAAGCATCCAGGGAGCTACAGGCAGAGGAGTCTGGCCCAACAGCCAGCTGGCTTCCACACTAGTGGTTAGGTCCAGACAAATTGCAAAATGAAAAGCTTGGATGGGGTGACCTTAAAGGTTCTTTTCAGTTCTAAAATTGTAATATCCTAACCCCCAAGCTTGGGTTTGTCTCCTGTGTGCTCTTGGGACACCTCATACTTCCTCAACAAGCCCTGAACAGAGTCTGTGGTAACTACCCACAGCCACCACCAGCTTTAAAGCCTGGTTCATTGTCTGTGCCCAGCACCTCAGGTAGGGCTGGCATGCAGGAACTGCTCAATGCCTGCTTGTTAAATAAATGTATAATTGATAACAAACACACATGATCGGTCCCTTTGTCTGTGGTGACTTGGGTTTATCTCTGGAGCCCTTTGGGCAGTGTTTAGACTCCTGCCCGACCCCACAATGATTTCCTGTCTAACAGGTGATTGGAATAAACAAGAAGGGACAAAACATCCACTGGGAGAAGCTTTAGGCCAGCTCCTGACTGCCCACTTCAGAGCCTGGGACAATGATCAGGTGGTCCAGGACCCCTCCCCCTTTAAAGGCTGTAGCTTCTGACAATTCTTTGTGACTTCACTGCACCATACCAGAAACTCCCATGCTTTTCAGTGCCACGGCTGAGTGACAGTGCAAAAGCTATCATGCAGATTTTCTTTATATTTGCATTGCTTCTCCTCACATAAAAATGTAAAGATTAGAGCTTCTTGTACTAAAAGGAAAAGGAATTTTAGAACATCACAGGCAGCGCCTTGGGAAGTGAAATTATAAAGCCAAAGAAGGAGCAAAATCTTTACACTTGGCAGTTAGCATCCTTGCTTGGAACAAAGTCATGGTCAAACATGAATCTAGGGTGGAAACAACCCAAGTGTCCATCAACAGATGAAGGATAAACATCAAAAGAGGAACAGTATACCCACCTAATGGAATATTACTAGCTATAAAGAGAAATGAAGTTCTGATACACGCTGCAACATGGATGAATCTTGAAAACACTATGCTGAGTGAAATAAGCAGACACAAAAAGATAAATATTGTGTGATCTCATTTATATGAAATATCTAGAATAGACAAGCCTATTGAGATAAAAGAAGATTAGTGGTTATCAGGGGCTAGGGGAGAAGGGAATGGGGAGTTACACAAAAAACATTAATTTGTAATCCCTTGCAGTGCAGTGGTTAAGAGCTCAGCTGCTAACCAAAAGGTCAGCAGTTCGAATCCATCAGTTTGGAAACCCTATGGGGCAGTTCTACTCTGTCCTATAGGGTCGCTATGAGTTGGAATTGACTTGACAGCAATGGGTTTGGCTGGCCTTTACTGAAGTGGTTCCTCACATCACCCTTTAGGTTTTAAGGATTGCTGTCAAATGCATAATAAAGTCTCCTTGTGCTGACATATCTGCTGAGACAGATGTTATGAAATCCTACGTTTCAGTAGTGTAGGTGCTGGGGTGGGGTGAAGCACCACTGACCCTCCTTGCAGGTGAGACACTGCACCTGAAAGGAGCCAGGTAACTTATCCAAAGTGCGCTCTGCTCTGATTTCTGGCAGTTTCCTTCCTCTGTCTGAGGACCAGTGCAAAGCCCCCGTGGTGCCTTTGGTAAGAGCTAGCTGGTGCTCAGTGCATTCTGATTGAGGTCGTACAATGATGTAAGCCAAGATGCTTCGGAAACATTTTCCCTCCTCTGCTAACTAACTTCATCCCAACTAAAGTCTGCAGTTCTGCTCCCCATCTCCAATGGTGCTTCTTAAGATTTAAACACAAACACACGGTAAGTGCTGTATCTTGGCTACTGTCTTTTCAGACTTGTGCATTTTTTAACCTCACCTCAGTCCTGAGCATCGCAAAGGAGCTCTGGTGGGATGGACAAAGCATCAGCTGAGGCACCAGCAGAGCCGAGTTCAAGTCTCAGCTCCTCCCCTTGGTAGCAAGTTCCTTCACCTCTCTGATGGGAATGAGGCCTGCCTATCCCACAGGGATGCGAGGACATGAAATAGCATGAGGGGGAGCTTTGCAAACCACTAAGCATTAAAAAATATCAAGTATATGAGAGCAACAGTCAGAGAGGGGCAGAAAGAGAAAGATTCTGAGGAGAAGGTTTAAGATGGGCTTCAGAATCACACCTATATTCCAAGTGTGCTTCACACAAAAGTTCAGACAACGCTGTGTCCTATCTTCTGAGAGCAGAATAAGAAGAGATGTCAAACACTTTTCTGACCTCCACGTGTCCCTATCTCCTTCCCTATAAAATGTCAGCGTAACAAAACCGACCTCGTTTTTAGGAAAAGGGCCTGGGAAGATAAATAGGCCAGTTCTAAGAGAGGATGAAGCAGACAAAACAGCCCTCATGATCGAGGTTCACAACTCTTTAAAGATGGAGAAACTTGAAATTAGGCAAGTATTTTACAAGTGGCATTTGATGCAAAGTTCTGTAGAAAGGAGCCTGCTAGCTCCCTGTAGTAGGCCTACAGGTTTATAGTCAAGGGAGCGATACAACATCCTCCAATGCCAACCAGAGCCAACTGGGTGGGGAGGAGGCAGATCCCTCTCTTGTTCTCAAGCTCTCCTCCCTCCCACTCACTCAGTAGCATTCATACTCCTTACTAGAGCAAATGTTTATTTTGCTTTAATTATTGGTGGGCCTCATTCTGGCTGGGTTAAAGCATCTTGCCGCTCAAAGGGCACTCACGTAGAATGTAGTTTTACAGGCAAAAAAAGTTGTCCTAAATCGTGGAGAACGTCCAGTACTTTTTAGCTATAAATCCCTGTGAGGAATGGCATCAACTGGGCCATTTTCTGGTTTAGATCCATTCTGTTAGCACCTGCCCCCACCTCCCATTAACACCCTGTTCTTCAGCCCAGAATGTGTCAACTCACCTCTGCCCAGTCCTTCCCCAAGAAGCTACTGAGGCTTCCTTAAGTGAATCTAGAACTTTTGCAACGTCTTTTGTTGGTCTTCCCTAAAGCGCTCACCACACAGCCCAGTTGTGTGATCGGTTTTCACTCTAGAAATGGGGGTCAGAGCCTTTGGGGAGACAGAGGGCTGGGGTAACTTACAAAATCGGGCGAGACTGGAAGTCTTCCTGGTTCATCCTCTCAGACTGGCGAATCTTCAGGATCTCGGTGTAGCTCAGGTTCTGCAGTTTGCTCTTGAACTGGTCCAGGGAGCTAGGCTTGGTTGTAAGGGCTCTCATAACCTGCTCCTTCACCACCTGCATTACCTGTAGATGAAAGGAAGACCATCATTTTTTGGGGGACTGACCCTGGCCATTTAGAAAAGACTCTCAGAGTGAATGGCTCCCTACCTCCCTAATCCCCCTGCACTCTCAGCCCCAACCTTGAGCATGCTTTTCCAAAGAGTAAACTTCCACGCTTCTCTTGTGCTATCAGAACCACAAGAAGGAAACGGATTGACAAAGTTGGAATTGGGGAGGGCTGGAGGTGTGCTCCATTGCTAGACATATTATGTGGCTGCTGCAGCTGAAACAACACTAAACAATGCAAACTCAAGAGTCAGGAACGAAAGAAGGCCAAGCAACAGCTAGAAGCCTGCATATTAATTATTTTTACCAGGAAAAAAATCACTGAGAAACAATAAACTGTAGAAGCTGGCTTGGCACCAGTTCAAATCAATGTGAACAGATACCACACATGCCTCTCCCAGACTGCCTTCCCCATGGAGTCAGGTCCTGGGTGTTCATACAAATTATGCATTTGGAAATGTTTATGTGGCATTGCCTCTTCGAGTAAGGCATTAAAAAAAAAGGTTTATTAAATTATAACTGATATATTCCATTGGCTGCCTCAAGAAAAAAAGAATATGGTCATTTACCAACACAGGACAGGTCTAGCCCAGAAGGAGACAGTTAACTATTGCCTCTATTACTGTGGATTCGTCTTCATCAGAATATATAGAGCAGGCAAAGACCAGAGAACACACAGAGGCATCCAAGGGGCTTGCTGTAATTTTGCTGCTTCTGTTTTCACCCTTCATTACAGATGCGAACAACAACTATTCAGTTTTTAAGGTACTTACTGTGCAGCAAAAGGAGCCTTGGTTGCACAGTGGTTAAAGTGCTCGGCTGCTGACCAAAAGGTGAGTAGTTTGAACCTACCAGCCACTCTGTGGGAGAAAGATGTGACAGTCTGCTTCCGTAAAGATTACGGCCTTGGAAACCCTGTAGGGCAGTTCTACTCTGTCCTATAGCGTCACTATGAATCGAAATCAACTCGATGGTAATGGGTTCGGTTTTTTTTTTTTTTACTATGCACCAGATGTTTTATATATAGATGCTTTATATATGTTCTCTCTCTTTAGCCATTCAAAACTATGAAATAGATATTAGCACCATCTCCACTTTACATACAAGGTAACTGAGGCTTTGAGACATTAAGTAACATGTTCAAGATCATACTTCTAGTTGGTACATGGCAGAGCTGAGATCTGAGCCCAGAATTTTAAATGATCTACTATGCTGCCTCCCATGCTACCATTCTTGGTGTTATTTGGTAACTTAAAAACAAGATAAAACCACATATTCGCCTCTGCTGTATGCTGGACTCCACTTTGCTATTCAACATCTCAATTAATCCTCCCTCCAATAGAGTAGAGTGTTATTACTACTATTTTAAAGATAACGAAACTAAGACAGAGAAAGGACTGATGACTTGTCCAAGGTCATCCACACTTAGTTTAGGTCTAAGATACTGGTTGTGATAGCTAGTTTTATGTGTCAGCTTGGCTAGGCTATGGTTCCCAGGTACTTGCCAAACACTAGTCGTTGTCTTGGAGCAGATACATGTGGTTAAATCAGCTGGCCTTGGGTTGAGCAGACTACTTTCCATGATATAATCCAATGCAATGTAACATAATCACCTTCCATAACATAACCTGATAGAATGTAATCAACTGATCAGTTGAAAAGGTTTCCTAAGATTTCCACCATTAGCCTCTGTTATTGCACGCGTGCGTGTGTGCGTGTGTGTATAAGATAAGGTACCACCTCCCTGTGGTGTGTTCTGCCTCCAGACTATTAAGAGACATTTTGGCAGAATTCTTTCTTCATTTTTCACTCTGCACTCTTCTTGTCATCTGACCTATGGATCTTGGGATGTAAGCCTGCATACGTCTCCAGCTCTGTGCTCCCCCTCCAATTATGTGAGCCAACAGGAGTCTCTAGCCTGTCTCCTTAATCGCCATGAGCCAGTTCCTTGAAGTAAATCTCTCTCTCTCTCTATATATATATATATATTTCTACTTCACTGGTTCTGTTTTTCTAGAGAACCCTAAGTAAGGTGGATACAGCATAGACAATGTTGCACAGCCCTGGGGTACTGCTGATCCTTTAATACTGTGACTGCGATCCCAATATACTCCTTATGGCCTCTATTCAGTTGTTCATTCAATAATTCCCACCTGCTAGGTACTCTATAATTGTCACTGACTAGTCACACTAAGATGCCATTTTAAGGAAATGTTATTATTGTAGTAGAGGTAACAAGTTTTACATCATGGTGCGATCTGAAATGTCCTCCAAAACCTTGACATCTCCTTGCACTTGCTGAGCTCTGTTCAATGGCACTGCCCCTCTCTGGGGTGCAGACTGCTAAGAAACGTGCTCATGTGTCTTTTTCCAAGTATATATCTTTCCTGGCAGCTGTCCTACCCACATCAAGTCCTGGCCAGGATCTTCAGAGGTTCCAAGGACATTAGGAGGAAGGAGAATGGGAGGCTGGAGAAGAAAGTGAATACTCCCAGGCAGCCAAATCAAACTGGCTTTTAGGGAAAGCTGAACTTTGCCTATCAGGCCTCAAGGGAACCCAAATGCCCTGACCCCCCAACTTGGACGTGTAAGTATCCTCACTCTGTAGCTGTCAGCACACCCAACCCTTGCAGTGTACCATGCTCTGCACCCACTGTGTGCCCAAAGGTCCCCCAGCAACCACATTTCCCTTTACCAGATGAAAATGGCTGATCAGAGGGTAAGATGAAGAATAAGTGTCTGGAAAAAAAGAAACAAATCCATCTACTGTCAACTGGTATCAACCCTCCATGCTGTAAAACTGTGCTAGGCACTAGGAATTCAAAGACGAATAAGATATAATTTTTGCCTTCTTTTAACTAATGGTCTAATAAGAGAGAGAAATGTGGCCAACGATCATTGCGGTAGAGGTGTGGAAGTGACAGAGAAGACAGACTCAGAGACTTTGCTGGCAGGCAGGGAGACATTTCAGAGAAGAAGACATTTCATATGGGTTTCGGAGGAAGAATGGGTGTTCAATGGTATGGAAACAGATGAATAACAGGGACAACATTACATATTAGCCACTTTGAACATGGGCTCCATCTGAGTTGGAACCAATTACATAAGCATCTTTACATGCTGCCAGCATAATGACAGAAAAGAAAACTTCCAGTTGACCTTCCACCTGATCTGATTCTTTTCTACTCAGGCAAAATGCTAAATTTGGGATGCTTGACAAATTTTGAGACTGTGGCTATCTTACATCTTGTGGTATAAATCAAGATTGGATTTAGTCAAGGCTGAATTATAATGTTTTGCAGTTTAATGTGAGGGGCACTGCAGGGGCTGCCCTATTTCCTATTCAGAGAGACTTACAGTCTAGTCAAGGGGACAATTATCATCTCCCAGTGTTATCTGACTTCTAGTGGGAGTAGAACATGTGAAAGATACAAAGACACAGCAACTGTTGCTGTTTGTTGTTGTGTGCCATTGAGTTGTTTCCAACTCATAATGACCCGATAGGACAGAGTAGAAAGGTCCCATAGGGATTCCTAGGCTTAAATCTTTATGGGAGCAGATCGCTGGGTCTTTCCTCCCATGGAGCCACTGGTAGGTTCGAGTCGCTGAACTATCGGTTAGCAGCTGAGCGCTTTAACCATTGTGCAACCAGGGCTCCTTACGAAGCTATTAAAATACCAAAAATAGAAGAAGCAATTTTTTGTATTGTGTTAAGTATACATATAACAAAATATTTGCATTTCAAATTTTTGTACGTGTACAATTCAGTGACATTAATTACATTGATTGTGTTGTACAACCATCATCACTACCTTTTTCCAAATTTTTCCATCATCCTTAATACAAGCTCAGTATCCCCTAAGCAATGACTCCCTCTTTTCTCCTCCCTCCCACCCTTGGTAACCACTAATCAACTTTGATCACTATGCATTTGTCTATTCTAGATATTTCTTATAAGTGGAATCATACAATAGTTGTCCTTCTGTGACTGACTTATTTTACTTAGCATAATGTTGGAAGAAGCAATTTTTAAATAGAATCAGATTAAAACTGGGAAAGATTTAGAGATATATTCATTTGCCTGATTTTATAGATGAAGAAACAGAAGCTCAGGGGGCCAGGTAATTTCCCCACTTCATATGACTCTTATGGGGCTGTTGCAGAGGTGACACTCATCATACTACATCTGCCTAGACACAGTGATGGGTCTAAGAAGTGAGCATGTGACCTAAATTGACCAGTCAACGTCCTTCTCCAGACTTTTCTGACTTGGAGGTAAAGCTGAAGCATGCTCTTTTTGCATCAAATTGAGAACTGGAAGGCTGTGTCCTTTAATATGTAGACAGTCAAGATCAGACTAATGCTGACAGAACCAGATAGAAGAAAGAGAAATGTGTGCAAGAGAGAGTGTTGATAATGGTTAAGCCACTTCAACCATAAAGTCTGTTCAATTCTTACATCCGGTGGTTTGGGTACATGAACCTTTTTTCTTGGTGTTGTTGAGAATATACACAGCAAAACATATACCTTTATACATGTACAATTCAGTGACATTGATTACATTCTTTGAGTTGTGCAACCATTCTCTTCTCCTTTTCTGAGTTGTTCATCCCCCACTAACATAGAGTCACTGCCCCTTAAGGTTCCTATCTAATCTTCTCAGTTGCTATTGTCACTTTGATCCCACATAGACAGTTCTTAAAAGAGCATAATGCTCAAGGCAGACATTTTTTACTAGTTAAGCTGAACTATTGTTTGGTTTTAAGAAGAACTTCAGGGGATATTTTTGGTTTAAGTTTTAAAGATTATCTCAAAGCAATAGTTTCAGGGGTTCATCCAGCCCCCATGGCTCCAGGAAGTTTGGATTCTATGAGAATTTGAAATTCTCTTCTACATTTTCCTCCTTTTGATCAGGATTCTTCTATAGAATCTTTGATCAAAACGTTCAGTAATGGGAG